TCCACTCCGCGCAACTACCCGCTCCTCGTCCTCACCTTGCTCTCCCTCCTGACGCGTATGTACCGCCTGCACCTGCCGCGCGCAGTTGTCTTTGATGAGCTGCACTTCGCCTCCTTCATCGCCCACCATCTCAACCGTCTCTTCGTCTTCGACATCCACCCATGGCTCGGCAAGCTCACTCTCGCCCTCTCCGCCTATCTAGCTGGCTTCCCTTCGGACGTCCTGGACTTCCCGATCGCCACGCCCTACCCGACGCACGCCTACCTCGCCCCGCGCCTCGTCGCCGCGCTATTCGGCGCCGCCTGTGTCCCGCTCATGTTCCTCATCGCCCGCGCCCTCGGCATGGCCCCCATCTCCGCCACCCTCGCAGCCGCCTTCCAGCTGCTCGATCTACTGCTGCTCACCGAGAGCCGCCTCATCCTCGTCGACTCCCAGCTCATGTGCTACATTCAGCTCACTTTGCTCTGCGCCCTGCGCCTCTGGCGCCTGTCCCATGCCCCGACCGTGTGGAAGAAGCGGACACCCCCGCCCGCCTACTTTCGCTATCTCGCACTCACCGCCGTGTTCGCCGCCGCCGCGCTCTCGGTCAAGTGGACCGCGGCCGTCACCCCCTTCCTCGTCGCCGTCGTGTGTCTGTTTGGCCTGTGCTTCCCGCGCGAGCCCACCCCGCTGTCGCACTGCGCGCTCGCGGCCGCGCTGGCCCTGGGGTGCTACGCCCTTCCGTGGTGGCTGCATCTGCGTCTGTCGACCCGCTCGTCGCCCACGGCCACGCGCATGAGCGACCGCTTCCGCACCACGCTCACCGGCAACGCGTCGCTCCCGTACGACCCTAGCCACAACGTCACGTTTAGCGAAAAGTTGCTCGAGTTGCATGTGCGCCAGTTCAAGACCAACCGCGGCATCAAGACGAGGCATCGATGGGAGAGCAAGTGGTACGAGTGGCCGCTGAATATGCGCGGCATATACTATTACGTCGATAAGGCCGAGGGATACACGGAGGACCGTCCCGTCGTGCGCGTCATCTACTTGCTGCAGAACCCCGCCAGTGCCCTTTGGGTAGCGGCGGCCGTCGCACTGTTTGCACTCTTGCTGCCGTGCGTCCTGCGTTACAGGAACCGCATCTCGGAGAAGCATAGCATGCACAGGGTGGTGAGCGTGGGTTGCTTTTTGCTAGCGGGCTATGTTTTGAACCTTGTGCCATACATGTTCGTGGAGAGGTGCTCGTTCTTGTATCATTACTTGCCCGCGCTGATGTACGGTCAGCTGCTCGCGGCGTTGCTCATCGATGCGCTGCCAAGGCGAGTGCGTGTATCGCTTACGGTCGTTATTATCGCTACCTTGGTCGCAGCGTTTGTGTTTTGGGCTCCATGGGTTTATGCTTGGCCTATCGACGGCGACGCGATTACGAGGAGGCAGTGGATGCCGCGCTGGAACTAACCTGGTTGGATTTTGAACCTCACTCTTTTGGAATCGAGGCCATATGCAGAGTTTTGATGCTCACATAACATAGACACTAATTTGGCGATGAGAGCTTGTGCGTGCTGGTGGCACAACTACTGCTTACCGTACTTGCCTAACTAGCAAATGACTCGATAAGCTAAGGCTAAAATGAAAACGCCGTACTTGTAAGAACTCCGTCCAACAGATTGATACCTATTTTCTGACCCCATCGCCCAATTTGCGTGCTAGTTGTCAGGACTATAGCATATCCCTGACACGCAGTTTCTTTTACAGTCGGTGCTAGGACCAACTACAGGCATCCTGAACTTAGATGCCAAGTTGGTTCAAAGCGATGCTTGAGGCGATTGAAAAAGTCGTCATATCGCCGAGTTGCATTACTACCCTCCGCTGCACTTGATGTACGGTAGCATGGTAGCAACATGAACCAAACCCGATCCCAACACCTGACCACACCCTGCCTGGTCTGCAATATATACCATGGGCCACACGCTTTGCCCACACTTATTCGTTCTTCCATGGTTGTCATAGTACAGGCGGGCATACAAAACTGTTGTGAAGCAGGCTCATACAATGCGAGGTCGACCCCCATTTCCACAGTATCTTTTGGGTCAGTCTTCGAGTTAGTTGGATACGAAATCTGCAAATGAATTTACCAACACTCTTCGTCCGTGCATGAAGATGTACAACGAGATGCATACGGAAGAACATCACAGTAAAGGGGGCAAACTATGCTGCACGAGTCCATTTCACGGCCATCCCTCCAAATGTCGTGATCTCTAAATGGACCGAACAGTCTTACCTGTGCCAAAACAGATATGCCATGATCACTACTTCAGTGCACTTGATGTGTGTGTTCTTTCCGTTGTGTGGGTGGGTTTGCAGCTTCAGTCCAACGACAAAGCTGTTCCCCGTTGCTGTCCTCAAGTATCGGAATTCCTGGATGCGTAAATGCTTCTCTTGTCGACGTCTATCTCAACAACAAACTGTCGAATTGTCTTCCACTGAACGCTCAGCAACAGAAATGGCTGCTACAGGATGCATATCTTCACCAAAGCGTGGCATGTGGCTCATAATAAATGCGCTCAGCATTCTCTATTGATAGTCGCAGTTCTGTCTCAGAAGCACTTTGAACCCTTGTCGTTCCGCGATACGCGGGCCCAAATAGTTTGTCGGTTGCCAAAAAGTCACCCTGATGCTGCTTACATGTCTTCGGGTGCAACGTAACTACGGTGATTGACATCGACATGGCGTTCAGAAACGGACAGCGTAATTACGATCCGGGAGACAGCGTTCCCAGCCGCCTCAGTAGTAGACTCGGATGTTAGGTCTGTCATCTGATGTAGGGTTTCATGTTTCCGTTTCAGAATCTCGGCTACAGAAATGGCCTTACTGATGGTCTTGCCGGTCGCTACAATTTGGACGCGTCCGACTGTGGAGTCCGACAAGATGCGATCTCCATATCCCACAAACGCTCGAATGGTGCCCGACGATGTGATTCGAAGAATATGCTTTTCACTCGGCGTCATCGGAGTATGCCTGCTTTTGTCCGTTCCAGTGGCTTCTAATTGCTTCGGAATGCTCTTCGAAAAGTAGAGTTGTTTTTTCTTTATTTTTTCTCAAAGGATCCCATTGCCCATCTCTTTCGTTTGCTTCCCAAACTTTTTCGATGCCCGGCGGTGGAGACAGCCAGTTGCTCGATAAGATAGACTCATCATGAGAGCCTGCCCCTTGTCTCTGAGCAGGAAACGACCCTCGGCACGCCTCAGGCACGTGCTTTCGTGCCATACTGAAACTATACTTACAGTGCAATACTGCTTTGAAGTACAGAACTGCCTGTTCTTTTCACACACGTGTGCAAATTTAGATTTTCTTATCCGTTTCTGTTCGGCAAGACCTGAGCCGAATCTGTATACAGTGGACGTTTTTCGCAAACTCAGGGGGATTTCATTAGTGAGCTTACACTGCAAGACTTGTTTTAATGGCCGAAAAGTTTGGTTATCGTTTTGTTTTGTTTTGAGGTTTGATAACAGCATGTCATGCTCGCTTGTTGAAACGTAATACACTTAACGAAAACGACTCGCGTCGGGAGAAGAGAAATGCCATACACTATCGCGTAGATTCTAATGCCTATCGGGCTGTTAGTCCTCATGCCGACAAAACTTTTTTTTTTTTTTCTAGACAAACTAACTCGCGATTTCACTTCTGTTTTTCGAAGCCAGAAGGCTATCATCACAGGTAAAGCATTTGCTCGTCGATTCTAGTGAAATCCAACTCGTTGATGCATATAAAGGTGTTCAAAAGAAAAATTCAGCTTACAGTTAACATTTTTCTTAAAGCTAATTTCATGCCAGTAGCACAGAAGCATTGCGTTGAGGGCTTTCTATTCGGTCCTAACTTCAGAAAAAAAGTTACAACGAGTCCATCTACCAAAGAAAAATTGAAACCGTGGCCATCATAGTTGAAATGAAATACAATTCGCAGATTTTTATGTTATGGTAACGCTTGATCGGATAGACACTAGACATATTTCCTGAAGAACGAATAGACTCTTTGCAGGAGGCAGCGAGATCTAGTTTCACATTCTACTTGTTGGCATGATCGCTTTTCATTCTTTATGAATCGACATGACATACTAGCAAGGTCCGAAAGCCCTCTGTCGAGGTAATCCTTACACTACAACACGCGTTCAAAGCCTTGCATTTTACTCCTGGCTTTCATGGACGAAGGACCTAAATATCGTGCATCCAAGATAGTGTGATTTAGACAAGCTGCTTCGGAGTGCTAAGTTTCGTTTTCCAAACAAAAATAAGTTTGCTATCATCCAGCTGTACAGCGGGTAAATGACTTTCAGGGCGGATTAGATGGAGGACTTCAACGCAGATGTATGTCCTATTGTTTCCAAATCTCTAGTTTCAAATTGTGAGTATCCGGCCACCATTTATTCCTCGCAGGTAGTTGAGGAATAAGTGCGGATATTTTCACAGCCAGTGCAAGTGCAAGCATCACTGTGCCAAGGGCTTGAGAGTGATGCGTCCTCCTGTTGCTGGAACGAAAAGAATTAGACCGGTCAGTCAGTGTCCTTGTGAAATCTTCTATTTCAAGGAGCACCTGTATCAAAAAATTCCATGAAACTGAAAGTTCTTTTTCTAGGACGTCCTTGTCTCTTAGTATAGACCACCGGATTGAAAACCCGCACCTTTATGCAAAGCTAGGATCATATTCCACACCTGCGTGCTTTGCTGAGGCATCCCGATTTTGACTTTGATGTAAACTGTAAAGGCTTCTTATCGCTCCTGTCCTGTGCGCTATGACGTTTATGAAGAACAACCATAGCAACCCGAAAAGTTTCCGTCTCGACAGAAGTGTTTACATACTGAGGTGATTGAAGCATTTGCAAGACAATGATTCTTTTCATTGCATTTGGAGCCGTAATTGCGAGGCGCTTCATTGGAGAAATCCAGATTAATCAGGGTTTCCTTTAAAAGCAATCTCAGTTTCTCAGAAATATGAGACGGTTTATTTTCGAGTCATGCTCGGATTCATTACCTACAGCACGTGCAAACTATACATGTGCCCAAAGGCCCCTTTCTTTGATTGTATCACTCACGAGTCCCCCAGATTTTTACCTGCGTGAGTTTTCCTCTTCATACTACTGTACAGAAGTATGTCTAGATCATATCCAATCGGACTGTCTGGATAGACTGGCGCCGATTAAAGACTTTACATACCAAAAAACGAAGTTTATGCAGCACTGAAAGCTACTCGAGACTCTTGAAACAATAACAAAACGGTTGTACGTTCAAGGAAACAGACTTGCCTTCGCTCATGAAGCTCCAAGGGTGCAACACGAGTGTGATCTACTGTCGTGCTGCTTCCGAGAATACCTGACCAAAGCGCATTGGAGTTCCATGGCCTAGACTTTAATCTGAATGATGTCGAGGTTTAGAGGAAACCCACATCCTAAGAGTACGAAATTCCCTTGCTAAATTAATGCTCTTTGTTCAAACGACACGTTCTTGCAGCAGTCATACATACCCGCCTCCCCCTAACACTAGTGTGTAAAAGCTGGAAGTGCCATACTCCGAAAAAAGCCTGAACATGACATAATACCTCTCTTGGTGGGTCCCTTGGGGCAGTGCCCCACTGGTGTCTAAAAAATATGTGAACAGTATTCTAAAGCACACTCTACTAATTGCTTGAAAAAATACATATTTCGAGGTCTCTCTGTCCCGTCCGAACGAATTCTTGAAACTGGGCGCATACGCTTCTGCGACGGTAAATAGGACATTGCTATATTTGATAGTTAGACGGACGGCTCCGCTCCTTCGTAAACAAACCAACTAGACGAATTTCACATGCACTGCTCTGTAACACACCACTTCAACTTTAACATCTATGGCATTATCTAATTCTTTTTAATTGCATTTATAAAGCAATGTGTACTAGTAAAGAAACGAGTTTCTCGCATTTGCACAATTCTATCTTTCCAAGGTAGTGGGTTTTGCACGTTTACTCATGAAATCTGTTTCTTCGATACCATTTGGTCTCCATCACTTACATGTACGACAATATCAAAGAAACACTGCTATGTAGCCTCTCACCAGTGAAGCATTTCGTTCTTCGTATACAGTATTTGACGCAATCGTATCGTGGTATATGGCACAAATATAGTCCTCATCACATTCATGCTGGACGTCCTCAAGATGTTTTTTTAAACACAAGGATTGGCAGTAGCTGTATAGAAAATGATGTCTGCAAAAATGGCTCGCGAGTCCTAAAATTAGGATGGCGCACGTACACAGGGTTCGTGCATGACCATGAAGAGAATTTGAGCAGCAGTACTTACACGATCTGTGATAGGAGGAGGGCACACCCCCAGGGCAACGTCAAAGACCGTTTTTTCGGTTTGAAACAGAAAGAGTTCACCGCGTTATATTTCTCGAGTCCCGCTGGCGAGAAGCGGCAAAAGAAATGTCGGCTTTCCCCCTCTTCCGACCCGCAACGGTGAGACAAGACCTTCGAGGAATCAGTGTATGAAGCATTAATGGGCGGTTTGGCTTGTAACATCGCCATCTCGCATGAGGCAAGTAACACAAATGCATAGAGAGAATTATTGTTTGCATGGCAGAAATATACATGCACGGAAAGGACGAGGATGGTCAGCCCGCGGAAGAACAGCGTACTCTCTCCTCATTTGGATATGCGTACAGTGGCCCTACCCATTAGTGCTGCTTTTATCTGTGCCTCCCTCCAAATAGTGTAGACCCAGACCCACGAACACAAAAAGTGCCACGTGTCATACGGTTCCGGCTGTTATGCTGCCGTCCGTACGTGTCAAACATGCCACCGAACACCGTTCACATATCTTAGCTTGTACTTGTCATGATTCCCGTTCCGGAAAAGACAAAGCGACGCGCAAGCGCCTGACCATATCGCAGAAGCTCGAAATCGCAGATCTGCTCGACAATGGACACCGTACACCAGCAGTTGTGTGGCAGTTCGGCATTGCAGCGCGGACTGTACGCAAAATCAAAGCAACTGCTCCAGCATTGCTCCGCACAGCAAGCGAGAAGCTCAAAGCACTCCAAATGAAGACTCGTCAGTAAGTAGTAGTCCCCCATGTCGAACTGAACCTCCTCGAATTTCTCAACGATGTCAAGGTGTAGTGGAAGCGTCTGTTAATGACGCCATGGATGTTTTGGAGACGGTTTGGGTAGTGCACAATCCACCAGAAATGCAATCATGTGATGAAGATGAGAGCGAAGAAGATACAATAGAGAGAAGGACTGTACCCTATGTCGTCGAGATCGCGGAATTGCTTGGAGAGCAGGAACTTTTGGCGACTGAGTGCCAGGCTGCAGACGCTCTATCGCATCTAAAGTCGCAAAGGCGCGCGTTTCTCACTGCGAAACACAACAGAGAACCAACACGGAGCGGGCAGACGTAAATTACCGAGTGCATGCAGATACAGTAGATGTAACGTCACTTATTAATGCCGTCTCTAAATAGTGCAGGTTTTGGGGGTTTCACACGGGGTGGCACTAATGGGTACGGTCCCCTGTACTATATCATACCACACGAGGCAATACGTACTGTAAGAGCGTTGATGTTGCGCAGCGATGGTACAGTATTTCCAAGGGTAGACGAAAGTCGGAAGCGGAGCTGTACGTTTCGAAAAATGTCAATGTCGCTTTCAAAGTTCGTCATCACATTTAATCAAACAATTTATTGGTTGTCACCAAACCTCTGCATCCGACTTGCTGCAGCATCCGTCCTCTATCTGCAACTTCTGAAGCAAAGGCTCCATTTCATCACATTCAGGATTGGACACGCTGCCAAACTCCCTCGCGTTCCGTCCTGCTGAAACTTCGCCGCTGAGCAAAGCATGGCGAGATCGTGAGAGGCGGAATCATAATACTATGCCGCTCCGACGCGCGCTTTGATTACAGCTGCACTGTCTATCCGTCAAAAGCCATCATAACCCGAAAAAAACTACAAATTTCTCTTCCTTTTAGCTCTTTCTTCTACACTTTCTATTTTATTGTAAATAATGACGATTTTTGGACCTCTTTCGTCTACTATGGTTGCATTAAGTCCTACTCACAGAAGCTAGGAAAGATCTTTTTATTAACTTAGCTCAAGAAAAGGTATGATCACTGTTAGCATTTGGTAGTTGGACCTTCTTCGCGACAAAGTGATGAAGACCCACGAAGAAGTACATGGTACATCAGCATGCTCCGAAATGTTCTTGGCTTCAATAAAAATAAAAATAAAGCAAAACGCTCCGCTAGATCATGAGAAAATTTTGAAGCCTCACATGAGGTCAAATGACGTCAAGGCACTGGTAACCGCGAATCGACTGGATGTCCAGTTGTCCACAACAGCTATTGCACAATAGACGGCACCGACTCACGTGCTCTTCTTACATTTGCATGACGACACGCCACCCACTAGGGTAAGTGTGCGGTACTTGGTATAACTTACTTCCATTGCATGTAACATCTATCACTGAATCGTATCCTTCCAATCTAGGAGCAGCAATCCAAGCAGCTCTTGTTGCGTCTCTTGGGTCATTGCCGGGCCGTGGAAGTGGCAAGTCCCTCACACTCTAACTCTCTGATTGGCAGAGTTCACTCCTTTCCCCACCGTATGACGGCTTTACGTAGTGAGGGTATTGAGAAAGGCATATGCCTGCGCCTTTGTGGGCCTATCGATATTTCGGAGCCGCACGGCGGCGGCTTGATGATAGCATTTCACAGACATATGACAATCCGGCTCTTCCCACACAATTCGCAACACTGCAGAAGCGAACGAACTTCCAGCGCTCCTCTTGCCTGGACAATGTCGTATTCTGTTTGGTCTCACGAGCGAGGCACACGCGGTCTACGGCAGTGGCGCGCTCGCAAGCCTCAGAAACGAAGGAGCAGCGTCAGTGTAGTACCTACTTTCTTGGACCAGTGAGCCCCATCTCACGGAATACCGGCCAGTGGCAGATCCTCCTCTCTCTTCTCATCCGCTATTAAGTCGTCTGTTCTGTCTTTACCCTGCATATAACCAGTTCACGAATTATTCACCATCGATTTGTGGGTATGCCAACCGTACGCTGACTGACCTGCGCAGACTTCCGAATTCTACTGTGCCCCTGTTTCGTTGATCAATGGATCTGTCACATCTCGTTCATGGTTTAGAGCCTAAGAGTGCGAGGAAACGTGAAAGTTCGAGTCGCGGGTCGTCTACCAACCGCTCTAACCATGAATCAACCGGTACAAGTGTAGGGAGTTCTCATCGAGGGCTGCATGGCAAGAACCCGAAGTCGAACACCAGCCCGAAGCCATCCTCCTCATCCAGAGAAGGTCCGAAGGCTGTACGCATCGGCAGTGCAAGTGGCGGAAGTGTGGCCCTCGCTTGCGAGGATTGCAACAGGACGTTTGAGTCTCAAAAGCTATTCGACCGACACTCCGCTGTCTTTCACGCACGTGCCAAGAATGTCAATGCGAGAGGCGCGCAGTATCCTTGTGCAAGCTGCGGGAAGGCGTTCAGTTCTCCGTCGAAAAGAACTACACACGAAAACGTGTCGCACAAAGGAATCCGTCCTTTCCCGTGCAACCTATGTGACAAATCGTTTGGATACAGAGGAGGTATGTGCCCTGCTGACCTTTGTCTCGCTTCCAGACCGATTCTCCTTCCTAACGTTGACATTCATTCTGGGTATCTTTCTCCGCGCTTTATCGATATTTCAGACTTGACAAAGGTAAGCTGTCCATCCCTCTGATATCGATACTCCCGGTTCATAAACTGCAACCGGCCCGGAGCTGATTACGTTCTAACACTTCTTTCCGCTTTGAATTTACAATGGTTCTGAATCACAGCACATGATTACACATTCTGGAGCGAAGCCACATACATGCTATATTTGCGGTGCAAAGTTCACACGGAACTTTTATGTCAAGGTATGTTCCTTACTAGCACAAACGGGTAAGACCCGAACCAGGCTCAGACTATGTCAGGCTTCTAACTTTCGTGAGCTGTATTTTCCATACTTGCTTGGCACATGTGCGGAACAGCGCCACATTGAGAACATACATGAAGGGAAGTCTCCCAACAAGCGTAACTAGAACTTTGCTTCGGCAAGTGTTCTCGACGCATGGCACTGTTGAGGGTTCTAGATTCACCGAGGGTTTCGAATGAAAATTGCCTGTACTCTTGCCAGGTTAGGATGGAGACGGGGAGCGATTTGTTTTCTGAGACGTTCTCCATCACCAGTAGTGCGAATGCAGAGTTTGGATGCAAACTAGTTGGGAGAGGAATAGATTGTTGGTGACCTGTCCATCCACTGAAAACCGCGCAGTAGCGAGAAAAGATCTTCGCAGTAGCGGGAGATCCGATTCTTCACAGATTCTCTAACTGTGTACTGTAGGAATATCGAGTGCCATGATGCGGTCGATCATGTATGCCCTTGATTTTTATAAAATGTGTCTTTTTTTAATCGCAGAAATCATATTGTCTTCTCCATTGCCAGACAAATTCGTGCCTCAAAGCAGACGTACAGTAGGGACTGAATGACCTTTTACAGCATAGCAGCGATTTTTGTATAGGCTTACAACCTCATGACCACCTTCATATTTCTTCTTCATGGTCTCACAGGCACGCTCCAAGATGTCATGAGATGAATTTTTTGGAGCGTGGGGCTCTAGTGAGACACATGGTTGAACCAACAGCATATCGACCAACGTTGTCCGTTCTTAGCAGGTGCGAATTGAGTGACGGGCACGCTCTCGCAAGATGTGTAGGTTTCTAAACAGAATTTTTGCCGTGTTACTCGCTTCCCAAAAACGTAACCACAGAACTACTTTTGGTCGGCAACAGAATATAGAAAACATATTCTTACAGAGACGTAAACCAGTGCACAAAAGAAACGAGGTCAATGTCATTCCGTCACTTCGGCTATAGGGGGGACTAAGCAACATCTCTTTACTTCGAACAGTTGAGGCCGTGGCGATTCCAATGGTAGAGATGTGTTGCCCTGATCTAGGTTTTGTTACGCTGGTAGGCTGACTCACACTACCGGCATTTCTGCTGTTGCTAAGGGTTTTATTTGCCGTGCAAGTATGATTTCAGACTTGAAATAGGGAGATACAGGCAAGGAGATCTCTATTGTCTCGTCGTGTCCGGCACACGCGATCTGGGAAATCACCCAAATGCAGAAAGAGGAGTCAAAAGGATTACCGCGTACAACCGCGCGTGTATCGCACCGCGAAAAGCAATGCCTGACATGAAGATATTTTGACTAGGACAGGCGCGGAAGAAAGTGTGCAAGAAAAGCTTCATTATCTGACTGATGTTTGTAAGCATAGGGACGTTGGGTCCGTGCAATTCGCTCGACTAACAAGGGCACAACCCCAACTCGTCGTGAGGGTCAAACTCATATATGAAAAGAATAATACTGTATGTCAGTCACATGGGGACGGCATCGCGCTTCTTGCCAGCAGAGAAAGTATAGTAAAGAAAAAAGGACACGCAATCCCTTTTGCATATGCGCAAACACGATTGATGTGCTGAGTGCCATGGAAAGCGTTTAGTTAAAATATGGATACGTGAGGATATCGTAGAATCATGCACATGGATACAGTGGGTCTACATTTCGCTCTCATAATATGCTGAAGCATATTGGGCGCCTCCGGAAATTATTTTTTGTGTCAGAGTCATATTTTTCTTTTTTGTGAACAAAAACTGAGTTTTACCACGGAAATGCTTGCGCACATAATGTGCGTCCCCCTACTGTACGCATGCTTTGAACTCGTTCCTAACGACGAGCACGGTGTGTCAGGGTCGTTCCTAACGACGAGCACGGCACCGGACGCCGGCAATGAAGCCGTCGGAGCTCTATCTACAGTGTGTGCTGTGAGCTAAGCTCAATCATGATGGTGTTTTCACCGAGCAGCCACCGTCAGAACCATGAATGACCAAATGGCTATTCTATTGCTACTTCTCATTCAGAGCCATGCTCGGTAGGATGTAGATGTCGAGTCTCGTCGGTCGGGCGGCGGCCGACACTTTCTCTGTGTACAGTAAATTTGGATTGTACGCGCGCACATTTTGACATTTGTGCGATACACATTTAACCTAGCATGGGGTCGCCCGTCCGAGAAAACGGCGCGTTGTGTGTGCACAACGCGCCGTTTGTGTGTCACAAAATCCCGATTTGGTCAACACAATTTGCGATTTTAGAATTTCAGGAGTCGCCCATTATGCTTTCGATATCTAACTGTGCATGCAATACAGTATGACTAGTTTTGGCCTCTAGTATACGTAAGGGGTTGAAATATAGCGATATCAGCCACAGGTTCATCTTGCCGACCATCAGCTTTGTTCGCCGTAGCGTAATTGGTCACCATCTCGCACTGTAGTATATCCACCGTACGTTTTCACACTATTTCGAGGCAGTCGTTACGAAAACATCAGTAGCGAAGCTGACAAAAATCTTATACAGTCAGGAGCATGTATTCGCATGATTGTGCCGGTCTTCATGAATAACATAGAACTTGGAATCGTTGCTCTTCTTGCGCAAGTGCCAATCGACCCCCAAGAAGTTCCTCGAGAGGCACGATAACAAATTACCGACGTTCGAAACAATGTAAACCGCTGCATAAATACTCCGAGGTTATTGCTTCGAAATCCCTTCCCTTAGTATTTGAAATACGTACTTATGAATAACAGGCCACGGCATGACCTTGAACGAGACCAATTTCGGGATCAAAGCGGCATCGCGTGAAATGGCCAGAGAAGAAAACAACGGCCATGTGTCGTCGTCGAAGATATATATAGTGCAGTACTGTTGAGTAAATAATATTGTTCAGCTTCAGCAGCAGTTACTGCCTAGGGTGTGCGGTGCGTATTGATGCAGTCATTGTGCCGTGCCAGCGGCACAGCACTGCAACCTCGACAGAAGACTGTCGAGGGTGGTGCGCGGCACGGAGCCATGCTTTGTTGTCGAGCACTAGGACATGATGGCACAGGAAGAAAAGCTGTCGTGTAGCAACAGACTCGTTGCCCCGTGGAAACCGATCCGCCTCTAGAATCAAAAAAGTCGCAATTTCGAAGGGTACTCATTCGGGACACGAGTGGAGAAGCAGGGCTCTTTACATACGCGGGCTCTCTTCTGCTGTCAGTGCAACCCTTGCGCAACTGGTGATATACAAAGAGGAACAGGATCGTGAGCCGATTTGTTGGGAACATTGATGTACCTTGCATACGCCTCATGACCGTGGCGCGAAGGTATGAGCACCACACGCATGCATTGACTATGCGGTAAAATATCATAGAACGGGACTTCAGGCCTTCACTTTTAAAACTTAATTGCTTTTCTTGTCGTTGGTGCCAGATACGGTCCTCCAGAGCTCAATATTCGAGGGTGCACCTGAATGCAACAAGACTGGTACTTTTTCAATTTTCTCGCACTCATCCGGACCAACCAATTACAGAAATACAGTACCTCATTCTATCCTTGTGAGAGGCTTTTAGTCTACTACAATATCTCGTGGTGTGAAACATTCCTTCCTCGCTACAAGCGTAGAAGACGATACTCTAGAAAAGCATACGGAAACGGCCTTCCACAGCCTTCGACAGCCTAGCTGCTCACCCCAGCATTAGGAAGCGACCTAACTGAGACTCGGTTTTTGTTGATATGTTCCCTCATTTCCTCGTTGATGGCCATAGCCGCCCCAATCACTGGAGCTCCCATATCCTCCTCTGCGGGCCCCATCACGATGTTTTCGAACGATAGCGCCAAACGACAGTGCTCTTCCTGGATTACACGGCGCCAGCCTTTGAAGTGAATCAGGTCCTTTGGCTTCAGGTGCGAAAGAGCCCACCGCCTCATGTTCCGATCAGGCATCCAGCGCACCAGTAATACCAAGTTTCGATTGTACCCATCTCTTCGACGGAATTCGGCTACCAACTCTTTCACCGTGGCGTCCCTCTCTTTTTGCTTGAACAGCGTCTCGATGTAAGCTGGTAACGACGCTGCAATGGCGTCGTAGTGCTCGAGCAGTGTCTTGAATTCGTTGAACTGCACCAAAAGCCCATCTAGTCTCTCTCCCACTGGCAAATACGGCAGAAACTTGTCGCGATAATCCGAGATGTTTGTCACCAAGTTACGCGTCGCCCCATTCACGCGCATCCGTTCGGTTTTTTTGAAGGCTCCTCGTAAATAGTCTTTCGAAGCAACCCAGGTGTAGAATACATCTTCCTCAATCGACAGCGCTTCCAACGTGAACTCTTTGAAATCTGCCCACCACTCGTAAAACACCTCAATATGTTCCATTGTGAGCAGCAACTTGCGCCGCTGCATCACATTCCCAATCTCAAACAAATCACGTATCTCGGCTTTGATCGCATTATGAATTAGCGCGAACGAATCCATGGCCCAGCCACTACCATATGGGGTTAGCTTCACCTCGGGGTACTTGTAAATAAGATCCATTGCAACGGCCGTCTTCGAAATGCGTGCCGTTCTCAATATATCCATTTCAGCAATCGGTTCTGGCTCCGGCTCCAGTTGTGTCACCATGGTTTCTCCCTCATCCTCCTCTTCTTCTTTTCCATCGCTGATGTCCGAGACGCTGCCTGCAAGTTTGGAGTTGGTTCTCTTCGAAAAACGACCCGAGCCCCTACTGGCTTTTCTCTCGGCCTTCTCTCTAGCTTTCTTACTCTTCCGAAGTTCCTTCTTGGAAAGGCCTTCCTCCCTCTCTAATTTCTTCTTTGCTATCTCAGTCCTCTCCTTGCCTACGTCGGGCAGTTCCTTGACTTCTTCAGGCAGGTCAGGCCCTTTCACGAAAAGATCGCCCTTACCTGTAATCCTATTCCTAAAACTCTTACTCGAAAGGGCAGCCCTACGTTGAGTTTCTTCCGGGGACGGCTCAGCCCCTCTTCGCATGCCAAATCGCCTGTGTTCACGCCGATCACCTGACTTTGGACGAGCCGGCGGCTTGCCAGACTCGGCTGCCGATCGCTTCGGCGGCGGAGGAGTAGCGGCAACATTTGAAGCTGTGGCAGCCGCTTT